ATACATATACATACATACATACATACATACATATACATACATATACACATACATTTGGTTGATGCTGTTGTCTGTGATATCATGTGTGCCTTGAACGACCCGACACACACACACACACACACACACAGATACTGGTAAAAAGTGTGTGTGGCCAGTAACTGTACTTAGTCCGTCAGGTCAGGCTCAGGTAGATCATGAAACCCTCAAACTGTGTGTGTGTGTGTGTGTGTGTGTGTGTGTGTGTGTGTGTGTGTGTGTGCTGTGTGTGTGTGTGTGTGTGTGTGTGTGTGTGTGTGTGTGTGTGTGTGTGTGTGTGTGTGTGTGTGTGTGTGTGTGTGTGTGTGTGTGTGTGTGTGTTGTGTGTGTGTGTGTGTGTGTGTGTGTGTGTGTGTGTGTGTGTGTGTTGCTGTTATAAATAAATACTCAAGCTTTGTTAGTCTGAGTCCATCGGCACAGTTTATGAAAAATCCAGAATCTAAGTCTCTCTCTCTCTCTCTCTCTCTCTCTCTCTCTCTCTCACTTTATCCTCCCCTTCTCTTGGTAGTGAACGAAATTTGACTAGGTTACGTCATAATTCATTGAGATAACGAAATGCTTTAACGAAATCCTGGATAACGAGACGCAACGAAATGCCTGGACAATAACAGAAAAATAACAACAAAATGAGCGAACAATTTACTGAAAACAACCGAAATATCATACCAATAATATATACACATCGAGCATAAATAAAACAGGTTACATAAAAGATTCTTCAACTAAAATATAACATATACATATTATACAAGTCATATATACATAAAATAGTGAGAATATACATCATACATATAACATAACATATAGTCATGAGGAACGACGGAGACGATATGTAGATATATATAATGTAATTTATATAACCTGGATATGGAAGATTGCCTGTCCACCACCTACCACCCACACCTACCACATCCCCCACCCTACCACACCTGTCCCTCACCCTACCACACCCTGTCCCCATCCTACCCACGTCTCTACACCCCTGTCCCCATCCTACATCATCCACCACTACCACCTGTCCCTCCCTACCTGTCCCCCACCCTACACACCCCTGTCCCCACCCTACCACACCTGTGCCCCACCCCTACCACCCCTGTCCGACCCTACCACCCCTGTCCCCCATCCCCACACTCGTCCCCCACCCTACCACACCTGTCCCCCCACCTACCACCTGTCCCCCCCCCTACCACACCCTGTCCCCATCCCTACCCCCCTGTCCTCCACACCTGTCTACCACACCCTGTTCCCCATCCTACCACACCCTGTCTCCCCATCCTACCACCCTGTCCCCCCCACACGTCCCCCACCCTACACACCGTCCACCTACCACCTGTCGACCATCCTACCACACCCTGTCCACCACCCTACCTGTCCCCTCCAGTTTTCTCTCCATATAACGGATTTTCTCCTCCGTTATATTTTCTCCTCCATATACGGTTTCTCCTCCATATAACAGATTTTCTCCCTCCATATAACAATTTTCTCCAGCGGTTTTTCACTCTATTAACAGTTTTCTCCTCCCATATAACGAATTTTTTCTTCATATAGTGGACCTTCTATATCCATCATGTCTATATCCAGCTTCGACCTTCACAATAACCGGCCTTTCCTCATATCTCCACAAACAAAGACTATATCCGGCTCCCACAGTCTAGTATTCTTCGGCCGGACATGTTTATGGTTAGGTTAGGTTATTCGTGTGGCTATTAGCTGTTATTTATATTGGTAAATCAATGTATATAGTTACGTGTGTGTGTGTGTGTGTGTGTGTGTGTGTGTGAGAGAGGTGTGTGTGTGTGTGTGTGTGTGTGTGTGTGTGTGTGTGTGTGTGTGTGTGTGAGAGAGAGAGGTGTGTGTGTGTAGAAGAGAGAGAGAGTGTGTGTGTGTGTGTGTGTGTGTGTGTGTGAGAGAGAGAGAGGTGTGTGTGTGAGAGGGGTGTGTGTGTGTGTGTGTGTGTGTGGGTGAGGTGTGTGCCTGAGGATGTTGATGTCTTTCTGATAATGTTTTATGCCTTTATACCCTCCTTCCTCTTCCTCTTCCTCCTCCTCCTCTTCCCCCTCCTCCTCTTCTTCCTCTCTCATTTCTTCCTCCTCTTCCTTCCTTGCCTCCCTCCTCCTCTTCTCTTCCTCCTCCCCTCTTCCTCATCCTTCCTTGCCTCCCTCCTCCTCTTCTTCCTCTTCCTCCGCCCCTCTTTCCTCCTCCTCCCCCCTCTTCCTCCTCTTCCTCCGCCCTTCCTCCTCCCCTCTTCCTCCTCTTCTTCCTCTCCTCTTCCTCCTCATCCTTCCTTGCCTCCTCCTCTTCCTCTTCCTCCGCCCCCTCTTCCTCCTCCTCCTCCTCTTCTTCCTTACCTCCCTCTTCCCTTCCTCCCTCCACCTATTGTCCTCCTTTTCCCACCTCCCCTCCCAACACAGTATCCATCACCAAGACTGAAGGACCCTCCCAAGAACTAATGACCAGTCACACATCCTACCATCTTACACCATCAAGTAGGACCTTTTCTCATATCCTTCACTGCGCTGGCGATTACCTCATTACTCATAAATGTCTCACTAGTTTATTATAGAGGTTTTGGGTTGGGTTAGGGTAGGCTGGGTTGGGGTAGGTTGGGTTGGGTGGGTTGGGATTAGGTTAGGTTAGGTTGGAATTGGGATGGGTTGGGAGTTGGGTTGGGTTAGGTTAGGTTGGGTTGGGTCAGGTTGGGTTGGGTTACAGGTCAGGTTGGAATTGGGTTAGGTTGGGTTGTGGATTGGGTGGTTGAGTTGGGATTGGGTTCAGGTTTTAGGGATTAGGTTAGAGTTAGGTCAGGTTAGGTTAGGTCAGGTTAGGTTAGGTTAGGTTGGGTTAGGGATTCGGTTAGGTTAGGTTAGGTTGGTCAGGTTAGGTCAGGTGGGTCAGGTTGGGTTAGGTTAGGTTTGGGTGGAGTCAGGTCAGGGGTTAGGTCAGGTCAGGTCAAGTTAGGTCAGGTCAGGTCAGGTCAAGTGGCGGTGGCCTCATTACTTCCTCTCTACCAACACAACTTCCCTCATTTTCCTTCATGACCAAGTTGATGATGAGAAGGTGAGGGAAAGGTGTAGAGGTGAGGGAGAGAAGGTGAGGAAGTGTAGAGGTGAGAAAGAGTGATAGTGGGGGAGGAGGGGTGAGGGAATGGAGGAGAGTGGGGGGTGAAGTCAGGGGAGGTGAGGGAAAAGTGGGGGTGTTGAAACACCTCTCACGGAGGAGGAGGAGGAGGAGGAGGAGGAGGAGGAGGAGGAGGAGGAGGAGGAGGAGGAGGAGGAGGAGAATGCTAGGTTTTGAGTTAATTTTAGGTGTGGTGACCTGTGTTGACCTCCGTGACATATTACTGACCTGTGTTGACCTCCGTGACTTATTATCCTGTGACATATTACTGACCTGTGTTGACCTCACTATTATCACGCTCACCTGACAGATGGTGATTGGCTAACATTCGACAGGTAAGCAACACCCAGTGTTCTACGACAAGGTTAGCTCTGGGTTGGGTTAGATTGGTTAGCTCAGGTTGGATTAGGTTGGGTTGGGTTTAGGTTGGTTCAGGTTGGGTTGGGTTGGGTTGGAGTTGGGTTGGGTTGGGTTTAGTTGGTTCAGGTTGGGTTTGTTTGAGTTGGTTTGGGTTTGGGTTGGGTTGGGTTGGGGTTGGGGTTTAGGTTATGTTGTGGGTTAGGTTGGGTTGGGTTGGGTTGGGTTGGGTTTGGGTTGGGTTGGGTTAGTTGCGTTAGCTCTGGTTGGGTTGGCTCAGGTTGGGGTTGGGTTGGGTTGGGTTTGAGTTGGGTTGGGTTTTGGGTTGGGTTGGGTTTGGGTTGGGTTGGGTTGGGTTGGGTTGGGTTAGGTTAGATGGCTGCCTCTGTGTTAACAGTATGTATCATATATACATTCCACATTATTGTGTGTGTGTGTGTGTGTGTGTGTGTGTGTGTGTGTGTCTATCTGTTTTGTCTGCCTCTATCTGTCTGTCGATCCTTTATGTAATTACGTATTTTTTTTTTTGTATGTATATATATGTATGTATGAATGTATGTATATGTATTGTATGTATATATATATGTATGTATGTATGTATATATGAATGTATGTATGTATGTATGTATTGTATGTATGTATGTATGTATGTATGTATGTATGTATGTATCTTACACACATATGCATCTCAACATACATCAGACGTATATCTTATGTATATTACTGTGTTTGTATGTATATGTATGTATATTTGTCTTGTGTGTATACGTACATGTGTGTCTCACTTTGATCAGGACTCAGACAGACGGACAGACAGACAGACAGACGGGCGGCTGACAGACAGAGAGACAGACAGACAACCAGACAGAGAGGAGAACAGACGGAACAGTAGCTCGGAGCAGAAGACAGACAGACAGACAGACAGAGAGATGAACAGACAAGAGAGACAACAGACAGACAGAAAGACAGACGAACCAGACAGAAGACAGACAGACGGACAGAAGACGAACGAACACAGACAGCAGACAGAGAAACAGACGAACCAGACAGACAGAAGACGGACAGACAGACAGAGACGAACGAATGGACAGACAGAGACAGACAGACACACAGACAGAAAGACAGACAGACAGACAGACAGACAGCGACAGACAGAGAGAAGACAGACAGACAGAGACAGAAAGACGACAGACAGACAGAGACAGACAGACAGACAGACAGACTCGTTATATTAACAGTAATGTATTTATTGAAGAAAAGATGGTGACAAAATATGTTTCCTCTGGTAGTTATGAAGACCGGGATAATACATCTCTCTCTCTCTCTCTCTCTCTCTCTCTCTCTCTCTCTCCTATATGCACCTGCACGTATAGCTGTCATCCCTTAATATTCTCCTCCATTATATAAAAGATATAGTCCGGCCCTATATGGCAATACACACACACACACACACACACACACACACACACACACACACACACACACACAGGTTAAAAGTGATTAGTTTTAACATATGTCAGTGTCTGGCTCTCCTTAGCACCTCTGCTGCCCCCCCCTGGCACCCCAGCCCTCTGGCACCCTCTGGCAGCTCCCTGGCACCCCCTGGCCCTTCCCTCTGGCACCTCTGCCCTCTGGCACCAATCTGGCACCCTGGCCTCTGCCATCTGGCACCCCTGGCACCCCTGGCACCCTCTGTGCCCTCTGGCACCCCCTGGCCCTGCCCCTGACCCCTGGTGACCCTGGCCTCTGGCACCCCTGGCCCTCTGGCACCCTGTGCCCTGGCTCCTCTGGCACCCCCTGGCACCCACTCTGGTAAACCTGGCACCCTCTAGCACCCCCTGGCACCCCTCTGTAAAACCTGGCTCCTGGCACCCCTGGCCTTCTGGCACCCCTGGCACCCTGGCACCCTCTGGCACCCCTGGCACCTTTCTGGTAAACCTGGCACCTCTGGCACCCTGGCACCCTGGCACCTTAGCACCCCTGGCACCCTGGCACCCTCTGGCACCCTTCTGGTAAACCTGGAACCTCAGCACCCCTGGCACCCCTGCCCCCTGGCACCCCTGGCACCTTCTAGCACCCCCCTGGCACTCTGTAATTAAAACCACTTGCTCCCCTGGCACCTCTGCTTCCCTGGCACCCCTGGCACCTCTGGCCCCTGGCACCATCTGGTAAACTGGCACCTCTGGCATCCTGGCACCCTGGCACTCTGGCACCCCTGGCACCCCACCCCTGGCACCCTCTGGTGAAACCTGGCACCCTAGCACCCCTGGAACCCTCTAGCACCCCTGGCACCCCCTGGCCCTCAGCACCCCTGGCACCCTCTGGTAAAACCTGGCACCTCTGGCATCC